TTTTGTTAACAATAAATTCAAATTTTGTTAGTTTTTGCTGATTACTACAAAAACAAACCCGTTTCGTTTCGATATGCAGAAAAATATAAAGAAATGTTTCGAAAAGCCCAATATGAAAACACAAAAATAATAATACACAGTTAGTAAACAAAACCTAATACGTTTTGTTTATTAAACCTCTGTTTGAGCAAGAGGCTTTCCGTTAGAGACAAGACATGAACACAACAAACAAGTTCTCTGTGGAAATTTGAACCAAATCAATCATAAAACTAATGGTTAAGTTGTCTAAATGGTGATCTGTCTTCAATTGCAACATCTTCATGTTTCATTGTCAATCTTGGAGGATCAATATTGTTGTTCTCTTTACCAAATCCATCACAACATTGCGTAGTTTTCTCCAAAGTTTTCATCAGCTTCATGTCTTCATCGCAGAGCTTCGACATTCGATTCTCCATTTCGCCGATAAAACACACAAGATTTCGTTTTTCTGATGACAAACTCGATACTTCCTTAACTAACTCTGTCTTTTCCGCTTCTGAAGTTCTTAGCATTTCCTGCATTTGTGAGGTTACTTCTATCAAACAAGAAACAGATTCATCCGATGCTTCGAGTTTCTGGCTGAGACTAGAGATTTCTCCTTCAAGCTCTGTGATCATCAAGATTTTCGCCTCAGTTTCTACCTCGGTAAGAATCTTACTAGCAACGAGTTTCTCCCATTCTTTGTAAACCATATTAGCCTCATTTTGCTTCTGTTCCAGAAGCAAAGACATAGGCTTTAATTCCCCGGAACGAATCTCTCTCTCGTTCTGCAACTCCTTCTCTGAGGTTATATGTGCAAACAAAGCAACTTCAAGTTCCCTTCTAAGTGATTCTTGTTCCAACAACTCTACTTCTGTCTTGACTTGTGTCAAGATCTTGTCATTATCCTTCATCATCTGTACAAGGGATTCTTTCTCTGAATCAGACATAGCAGCTTTCTTCGAACTTGCGGAACCGATAGCCTTCAGTTTACGCTTCAGCTCCTTTCTCTCTTGCCTCATGGCTTCTTCAACTCCAACCTGTTCAAGAAGAGAAGCTTCAACTCTTTTCCTCAGGTTCTGGCTTTGCTCGAGTTCGACTTTTAGCCTCTTAGCTATAGATTTCCATACCCATAATTGGAATTCAAGCTGGTACGCTTCAGATGTTTTATCAGACAGTTCACAATTTGCTGTTTCTAGTGCCGCAGAAATGTCATCAAGTTTCCTTTTCGAGTCGTTTTCCATCTCTACAACTTTCTCCTGTAAGAGAAGTTGACTTTTGGTCGATTCTTCAAGCATTTCCTTGTAATTATGAAGCTCCTTTTGTCTATGCTCTTCATTTTGATCAATGGACTCGGTTTTTCGTATCAACGAGGCAGTCTTCTCAACCTCTTCCGCTAACTTGGCGTATGCAATGTCGACCATGCTGCATAGTTCTCTAATATTCTCCTTGGAATCACTTTCGAGCTGCGAAATCTGCTCCTCTAAAACCACCCTACACTTTTCTGATTCCTCCAGCATCTCCTTATACTTCTGAATCTCTTTTTCCATCACTAGATTCTTCTCTTTGACAATACCAAAGGACTCAATCTGCCTTGTTAAAGCCGAGACCTTCTCGTGTTCTGCAACGAGGTCAGAGTTTGTGTTGTCAAGTGCATCACAAACTTGCAGAAGTTTCTCTTCGTAATCATTTTCAGCTTCTTTCATTTTTTCTTTCATCTGAATTTGGAGTCTAGATGATTCCTCAAGTGTTTCTTTGTACTTCTCTACCTCCTTATGCATCTGAAGATTCTGTTCTTCAAAGAACTCCAGCTTTTCGACTCTCTTTAGCAAGCACGCGACTCTTTCGCTTTCTGCTTCAATCTCGTCATGTGCCTTAGCCAGCACAACATTCTTTTGTTCTAGCTGCTCAATCAATAGAGAATAGCTTTCTTCTTCTCTTTTCTCGTCCTCGATTTGTTCCTCCTTGACATTTTCAAGCATTGACTGAGCCTCAAAGACTGTTCTGCTTAGCACTAAAAACATTACTGAGATTTCTTCATACTCTAGGATCAATTTATCTGTAGAAATGTGCCAGTTTTCGAGTTCCAGTTCAAGCTCTTTTACTGCTGCTTCCTTGCTTTGCATCTGCAACTTGTAATCACTTATCTCTTCTGCCATATCCTCCACTCGAGAGCTCCATTCAGCTTCTTGACTTCTTAAATTAGCTGAACAGTTCTTGTGTATGTTTTCCAGTTTCCGAAACTTGTTTTTCAGCTTCGATACCGCAGAATTCCCTGATCCTTGAATAGTAGCTTCCTGGAGTTCTTTCAACGACGCGAGCAATTCTTGATTTTCTTGTTCTAGCTTCCCATTCTCATACTTCATCTCCTTAAAATACGCCTCTTTCGTGCCCAAGGACTGTCTCAACTCTGCAACTTCCTCGTCTCTTTTGCTAGCCAAATCATCGAGCTGTGTTCTTGCGTCTTGGTACTCTTGAAAAGCATCTTCATATCTAGCTTTGAATTCGGAAACTTGGATTTCGAGATGCTTTCTTCGTGTCTCTTCTTGAGTCAGCGCGCTGTTACACATCTGTAACTTCTTCTGAAGATCCTCTGAGATTCTAGTTTGCGAATCTAGTTTCGTCTGAAGAGAGTAGATTTCGTCCAAAAGCATCGATCTTTCTTCCTCACTCTCTTTCTTGCTAGCTTTGAAATGGTTTTCGAGCTTCTCATCATACGCTTCCTCGAGATGCTTAAACTGTTCCTTCTTCCATTTCAACTTCTCTTCTACTTGACTCTTTTCCTCTTCCAATTTAACCATTACATCATCTCTTCCTCTCATTTCTTTCGTATCTTTCGCAATTTTCTCAACTTCGATCTTTTTCCTCTCCGCTACCGCTAAATGCCCTTTAAGCCCCTCGATCTCGGCCTTATAGACATTGTTTTTCTGCTCCATGTCAATGTTCTTCTCGCTCGCTTCATCCAAAGCCGAAACCAACTTTCTTTTCTCCTCTTCGAATTCTCGGTACTTATCTTCACCACTTGCTCTAAGCTTATCATTCGCTTCGTTCAAACGCCTAATTACAGAATCCTTTTCTCTCAAACAACATTGTAAATCCTCGTTTGTTCGCTTCAACTCTGAAACTTCTCTTGCTTTCTCATCGATTTCAAAACCTTGCTTCTCGATTACCAATCTCGCTTCTCCGATTTCTACTGATTGCTCGTTTTGTAACTTCTTTACACTGTCGAGATGCTCGGTTCTGCTTCTATAGTCCATTCTAAGCTTTTCGTATTCGGCTTTTACTTCATCTAACTCTTCATAGACCTTCTCCATTTTTAGCTATGTTCAAAACAAAATACCTACCAAGCAAATTTAACACAACGATTAAGCGGATCGAAATCGAAACACACGAAAAATCGACTAAAACTTTGATTCTACAGATCTAAGAGAATGTGAGAATCAGCCATATTTACTCTGAAAGTCGTCACTTTCGATAAACAGATAAGCCTAACCAATTTCAGAAACACAGTGATTCAATCTGAAATTCGTAGTCATGTTTACATGATGAAACTAAAGCCGAGAAAATCGCTAATCTTCGTTGAAAATCAAACATCTTAGAACAAATAAAAAACCTAATTGGTCGAATAATCAAACCCAGAAAAACGCTAATCTTCGTTGAAAATCAAACATCTTAGAACAAATAAAAGCCCTAATTGGGTTGAGAAATCAACCCAGAAAATGAAAAGCAAGTACCTGATTCGGAATACAGAGACTTCAAAACGAAAATTCCATTAATAAAATCGATCGATCTGCTCAAATTCTTC